TCATTTTTTTTTAATTTACCCATATATATGATAGTTTATCAATAGAGTAATTTAATTTGAATAACATTATACACAATTTTAAATATAAAATTATGAAACTTGAATTATGGGTTTAAGATAATTAACTAAATAATAAACGTATTAGAAATTTCAAAAATTGTCAAATTGCTTCTCACTTGTAACATACATTTTTCATACGAAAAATTAAATATAAAAAAATAATATAATAGAATATTAACTGTTTGAAAGAATATATTATGAGTTAGAATACTTGTATGTATAATATAATACTATATATATATATATATGTGTGTGTATGTATGTATGTATGTATAGATATGGAGAGATTGGATTGCAAGTATCCAAATCAATGATGCAGTCCAAACAGACCCACATCGCCTAAATTTCTTTGTTAGAAGAAAAAAAAAACACATTTAAAAGGACGGTCGGTCACCTGACAACCCAACAACTGTGGCCACATAACCAGCCGCCCAACACACCACCAAACCACTTTCATTTATTAATCATTTACTCCCCCGAAAATCATTTATTTCACTTTTAATCCTTTTACTTTTTATTTATTCAATCATTAACTACCACAAACTCCACCCGCCACGTGGCGCTGCCGGGTCCCACCTCCCCCACCTTCCTCCAACCTCCCCGAGCAGACGCGCCGGCTTAACTGTCTGTCACCTTCGCAAACGTCACCACCACACGCAGAGTGTTCGTACTTGCTGCCCACGTGAAAGCCGCACGTGGAGTGACCTCATTGGTCGGACGTCGCCGTCAGTGTTGCCACTGCATGGAACTCATGCACGACCCCTCGAGAAAAGGAGGGAAGAAATCTTGTTGGTGGATTCCAGACGACACGATGTGGTGGGACCCGCTCCTCCAGCTAAAGCGGCCGCCGCGCCTCCCCTCTCACATGACCCTTTCACACCGTGGGCCCACAATTAATTAATTAATATTTTTATTTATTTATTTATTTATTAAATATATTAACCGACATTTTTCTAGAAATATTATATTTTTTAGCGGCCGTTAAAAACATATTTGGACTAATTTTTCATATCTCAAAATTAATATTTTTTTTTAATAACTTTAGCAAAGCACTATTTTATTATTAATATAATATTACCCAAAATTTTATACATTTAAATTATTTTAAATTTCAAATTTAAAAATATTAATTAATTTGAAACTGATCATATCAAATATTAAAAAAATCGTGATTTAAAAATTTTAAATAAAAATTTTTATCAAATATTATTCGATCTATCTAGTTCGTTCCAAATACACCAATCTATTATAATTTTTTATTTAATATCGGATAGTACTCACTCATAATAAGTCTCAGTTGATAATTTAATAAGGTAATAACGTAATAATTCATAAAATTTTAAAATTACAGTTGATACTTATCCAATTATTTGTTTAAATAAATTTGCGTTTTATATGAATATCGTGTAAATTAGATTGAATATTGATGAGTCGAAATTGTATTTTTTGGCTGAAGTAGCCGAAGTTCCAGTGCCATTTGAGTGAGGAATTTAGTTTGAGCCCCAAAGCATGGTTACTGGGGAATTCTATAGAGA